TTGACATTATCATATGCCTTCTCAATACCGAGCTTACAAATAAACCCTGCCTGCCCCTACCGCATTCTAGAATCCACACATTCATTCGCCACTAGGACCGCATCCAGAATTTGGTGACCACCCACAAAAGCATTTTGAGACTCAGAAACCACCCCTTCCAACACACCACGTAATCGATTCGTCAACACTTTTGCCAAAAGCTTTTACACACTACCTAAAAGACTAATAGGCCGAAAGTCCCGAATATCCTCAGCCCCACCTTTCTTGGGAATCAAGACAATAAATGTGGCATTAAGGCTGTGCTCAAATTTCCTTGTCTGATGAAACTGCTCAAACATGGCCATGACATTTGCCTTCACCACCCCCCAACACTGCTGAAAAAAGGCTAAGGAAAAACCGTCTGGACCAGGCATACTCCGTAAAGCCTCAAACACTTCATCTTCTACAAAAGGCCATTCCAGCAACCAACTATCGTCCTGTGAAATAGCATCAAACAAAACACTATCTAGGCCCTGTCTCCACACCTCCCTCTTATCCCGAAATAAATGCTCATAAAAACCCACGATACAGGCGCTAATCTCTTCGGAAGATGACAGCTCCACACCATTCACTCGCAAGCGACCTATCTGATTCACCTTACGATGAGCATTTGCTAGACGATGGAAAAACTTAGTATTGCAGTCCCCATCCTTCAGCCATAAGCATCTAGATTTCTACCGGAAGTTAATCTCCTCCATCCAAGCAACCTAGGCAAACTCTGCTCGAACCCTCTCCCGACGAACCACGTCCGCCACAGACAATCCCCCCGCAGTGTCTATCGCATCCAGCTCCTGCAGCACAGCCAACGCAGAGGCCTTTTGCGCCTCCAGACGGCCAAAAACATCCCTATTCCATTGTTTCAGATCGAACTTGAAAAGTTTGAGTTTCTGCGCAAGACGGCAACTATGCAAGCCTAACATAGAATAGCTATCCCACCAACCTTTCACCCATTCCGTAAAACCCGCAGATAACAGCCACATATTCTCAAATCGAAACAGCGCTGGTCACACTCCTGATTCCTTCACTATCCAATAAGACTGGCCAATGATCAGATACTGGCCGCGACAACAGACTTGAGACACTTGTGAGAAATGCTCGTCCCACTCCCCTGTTACTAAGAATCTATCAAGCCGAGACATAGCCCCACCCCCATACCACATACAGCCACCACCCTGCAATGGAAAATCTACCAACTCCATCTCATTGATAAACGACGAAAATGCCCGCATAGAACTCACCACCGACCTGGCCCCCAACTTTTCCCCCATACTCCTTACCACATTGAAATCACCACCTACGCACCATGAAGGCAATGCACTATAACTCCTCCTAAAAGCTCAGATGCTCCCCACCACGATCTATCAAGCCGAGACATAGCTCCACAAGCTACCACCCTGCAATGGAAAATCTACCAACTCCATCTCATTGATAAACGACAAAAATGCCCGCATAGAACTCACCACCGACCTGGCCCCCAACTTTTCCCCCATACTCCTTACCACATTGAAATCACCACCTACGCACCATGAAGGCAATGCACTATAACTCCTCCTAAAAGCTCAGATGCTCCCCACCACGAACTGGCCCATAAACCTCTGTGAAGGCCCAACGAAAATTATCCTCGACACATCAAAAAAGACGAGATTGAGAAAGCCCCCACCTCTTCCTCCTCCTTTACCACCACTCTCCCGTCCCAACAAAGAAGAACTCCCCTTGCCACCCCTACAGTCGGCAAAAAAACCCAATCCACAAATCGACCACTCCACAACTCCCTAACTAACTCCCCCCCTAGACGCTCTAGCTTGGTCTCCTGAAGGCACACCACATCTACCCTTGCACTTTTGAGCACTGATTTTACCAACACTCTCTTTCCCCTATCATTCAATCCCCGCACATTCCAAGTCAAAATCTTTAATTGTATTGCAACAACAACTGGTTTCCGTGGGCCTTTCTAGCACGTCGCCCATCCCCACCCATACTCCGATCATAATTGATGGAGCACTCCAATTTTCGTAATTCCTGAACACCCTTCCCATTGTTTTTCACAGGCTTCTCCACATCTTGTTTAGGAGCACCGTCCCGCCATGACTCCACTATAACTGAAAATAATTTAAGGGCCTCATTGCCGTGCCCTTCGAAAGAAACCCCTAAAAATTGGCTAACCTCATGAATACAAGAGAGGACCCATTCTGAAACTTCCTCTATACTCGGGAACCCATCCTCCTGAAACTTAGTTTCTGACAATGAGTCACCACCCTTAGCCACAACATCCTTCCCATTTGCCCCAGTAATGACGACATCAGGTCGGACCACCAAGGCCATCTCGTCTGCCAAATCAGCCTAACGAGTGTCGTTAGGCGGTGCCTCCGCCTGACACGTACCCTGAGTACCCGCCTCGTCATAACGCTGCTTATCTACTATGGAGCCAGCATGATACGAGGGAGAAACAGCCTCGGCAGAGAAAATGAATTGCTATGCGCCCCCTAGCCGACTGCCGGCGTTCCTCCCCTGAGCTCTCATCTTTGCCGCCAGCACCCCAGCTCAAAGTGAAGTGAAAACCCGACTAAGCTTCGGGTTGGTTTGACTGGGTTGGCCTGAACCACGTCCCTCTGGATTGGGTTTTTCAAACCCTTGCCCTAATTGACCCATCGCACAGTCCAGGCCCAAAGTTGGTTTTTTTGTTGTATTAGCCCGCCAGTGCTGGCCTTATGGAATAAACTTTTGGGCCTTAGCATGGCTCACTTGCATGGCCTTAAAACCCCCTTCTAAGCCCACTCTGTGGCCCAACGAAACTGGAGGCCGAAAACGACGGCCCCGATATACATACTTCCCCTCAAATTTCTGCAGATATTCCTTCACCCCCAAAATCTTCGGGATTCTTCGAATCGATCGCCGTGACTCGCGGCTTTCCTTTCCCAGTCGAAGATCCGCACCTGCCACAATCGGCGGCACCACTGGCTCCACTGTCGGACCTTCCTCTATGTATATCGACGACGAATAGTTCCACGACCCCCATCGGATGGAAATTCGTGATGGTGTGTTCTCCAAAACCCTAACACAAAGTTGAATAGAGCCCAAATCCACCAGTGACTTGTTGGCCTCCATAAAGCCGCCACACTGATCGCCGATTTGACGGAAAACCTCCTCTCCACGAAGATGAATGGGCAATCCCACCACTCGGATCTAGACCCCCTTTCCTGACGACATCGGATTGCCCGAAGCACATCGCACCAGAGGCGTCCACCATTCCAAAATCAGATCACGACCACCAATAGTCCATCGCCGCCGTAATAACTCCTCCGTCTCACCTCTAGTTGGCAAAACAAACAAGAATGCCTGATCACCGATTGGTTGCACCTTCACCTTCCCCGAGAGCTTCCACCACCGACTAACCCAGTCTGAGATAGCCACGAGGTTGGTCCCTTTGCCACCCAGTTCCCGAAATTGACCCACCAGTGATCGATCCAACAAACGAAACCAGTCTGCTATCGCCGTCGTGTGAATTGCCTTCACTCCTCCACCCACACCACGATTTGGCACCACTCTTGGCCCAGACATGGGTAACACCTTTCCCTTCAGTCCGCCAGTGCGCCTCACCCATCCATCCCCTAACCCAAACCCTTCAATAACCAAAGCCACATTCCCCCCACCCATCACCAAATTCCGACAATGGAATGAAAATTTGTTCTCGACGGCTCCCCACCGTCACCACTATTTGAAACGAAGAAAGACCATCTTCCTCCCCTCGAACCCAAACTGCTACACTACGACTGCCCCCACAAAAGCACTGGTTTGATAAAAAAGAAGCCCAATCGAAGATCAAAGAAAATAAGGCTTTTTCTTTTTTTCTAGGGGAAAAAAAAAGGAAAAAATAAATCATATGAAATAGAAAAAATTGAAATTTTTTACTAGTGGAGTCTCTTCTCAAATTCAAGGATATTGGTTGTGGTTTATTTAATTTAATTTAATAATTAATTAATTAATTTTACATATTAAAAAAAAAAAAAGAAGAAGAAGAACGAAGAAACAAGATAAAACCCTTTTCCTACTATACCAGAAGCTGTGATACGTAGTTGACATTGATACACTAAGAGAGAAGATTGACAGAAGAATAAGAAATAATATGCGGCTCTTGAGAGAAACCTAAATAATTAGGGTTCACTCACATAATCACATCTATGTATATTAGAGTGGTCCAAAGTACACAATTACGCTTTAGACTACTAAACACATAACATCTAACAGTTTTGTGATCTAAAAAACCAACACATAGGGCAATACCATTGTGCACAGTATCCAGAGTCAAGAGAGGGCCGATGGGGGCCAGAGCCACTAGTGAGTGGAGATCGAGTAGGAGTTTTCATAATTCAAGAAGTCAATTATTAGATGTGTCTGAGTTAGGGTGTAAGTCACCTTGCCTCGTAATTGAAATCTTGACTTTGTCTTGTAATTGAAATCTTGATATACTGGATTGCTTAGATTGGCAAGGTGCCCGTGGCTTTTTTTAGGTTTGTTGTCTTCAAGATTTTCCATGGAAATTGTGTCTTGATTCTTTTTTGCTATTTGTGTGGTTGGATTGATCACTCGATCTACATTATTGTTGCTTCATGGATTTTTAATTGTATTATCTCACCCCGCTCTGCGCACAAACTAGATCCACCTCCAATCTTTCAAATGTGGTACCTTTTAGTTTTACTAAAATGTTATATGAACTGTAACCATCATGCTATTTTCAGGAAATAAGATCTGTCACAATAGATGGAGTTAATAACAAAGATAATAATCAACTTTTTAGTGGACTTTACCAATTACTGGCGTAATACTTTTGCAACATTTTCAGATAAAATTCTCAGTATGTTTAGTCATATGGTTTTTTTATTTTTATTTTATTTTACTTTATTCTATTATTTTCTTGAATGTGTTTTAACTTTAGATACTTCCTCCATAAAATATATTTTCAGGTACCCCCTTTTTTAGTTCGCAAAGTGTTTACACAAATATTTTCATTTATCAATGTACAATTATTCAACAGGTGCGGAGTCTATAAGCGTTCAATGTATTTTTGAATACTTTTGAGACCCAGTTTGTAGAATAAAGTTATTACTTCTGTTTATTCCTTGTGGTTACAGCCTTCTATTGAGAAGAGAATGCTGCTCATTTAGTAATGGTGAATATGTCAAGGCAGGATTGGCTGAACTAGAACATTGGTGCTACAAGGCAACTGATGAGGTAATCATGTTTTGATTCTTTGCCAGAGAAATATATTCTTCATATATTTTTCCCTACTAAAGAAAAATGAAAATTTTCAGTATGCAGGTTCAGCTTGGGATGAGCTCAAGCACATAAGACAGGCGATTGGGTTTCTGGTATTGCATCCCATGCTCTGAGTACTTAAGAGCTTTTAGCATTGCTTGTTTTGTGAATTGCATTGAACAAAACAGTGCAAGTTGTCTGCTAAAACTCAGAAAACCTTTCTTCGTAGTTGGGCAGAAGTGCTAATTTTTAAATGTGATGCTGAGTTTTCTGTTCCCTGATTTAGGTTATACATCAAAAGCCAAAGAAGACACTTGATGAAATAAGTCATGACCTGTGCCCAGTTACTGGTCTACTACTACTAAAAATTTGTTAACAAATTATTTCTAAATCCTACACATATTCCTCAGTTCTGAACCAGGTCTAGTTTTTAATTGTCCACAGGTGCTTAGTATTCAACAACTCTACCGAATCAGCACAATGTATTGGGATGACAAGTATGGGACACACAGCCTTTCTCCAGATGTAAGTCTCTTTTGCTGCCTTAACTTGGTCAGATTGTTCATCATTGCATATCTCTAAATATCTAACAATTTCAGTGTAATATAGGAACATGTTTCTGTGTTTGGTATCGCTGGAAGTAAATATGAGAAATGGTCAAGGAAACAATTTTGAAGCAATAATTACACATCTGTGAAAAATAAACTTGTGTTTTAATATTTTAGAAGTTATGTATTTCCTGCATGAAGTTCATGCATGGAGGAATAATGTGTTAAAGACATTAGTGATACGTTAATGGGCATCAGTGATGTGGTTGTTACAAATTATTGGAGTAAGTAGGTCTTAGTATTGTCTTAATGGTAGATTGTCAAGAGTTAGTTTTAGGATATTATATACAACCATGTAATCTATCTATTGGTGGAATGAGAATGTAATGAGAGATATATGAGTGAAAGTTCTTCCCCAATTTTCTTCCAAGTTGTTTTAAGGTGTTTGTTATAGCCTTTTATTTCCAACAAAGCATATTCATTTCATTTTATGTGTTGGTGATTTGCTTGGATAAAAAGGGTCAACATTTCTACCAGTATAATCTGGCATAGACTTCTTTCATTTTAAATGCTGCTGATGGATCAAAAAGAGCCTTAAAAGTGTTACTGACTAGGGTGCTGTGTGATATTTTGATTGACAGGTAATATCCAACATGAGGGTGCTGATGACTGAAGATTCAAACAACGCTGTCAGCAGTTCTTTTTTGCTGGATGACGATTCAAGGTTAAAGACAGATTAAATCATATGAGTGTGTGTGTGTGTACTTCTCTTTTTGTTATCTTTAAAATTTGTAGCATTTTCATCACTTCACTGAAGGCCATATTTTTGTGCTGTTGGCCACTGATATTTTCCCCATCATTCATGGTACAGCATTCCATTTTCAGTTGATGACATCTCAAAATCAATGGATCAGATTGACATTTCGGACATAGAACCACCACCGCTTATTCGTGAAAATTCAGGATTCAGTTTCTTGTTACCGCGTGCCGACTGATCACCTTTTCATGGTTGTCTGTCTTGTCACTTAGAGGATTAGTCCAAGGTATTACATCCAAGCTACCCATTTAAAAATTTGAGACTTAACTCCATTTATAGTTCTTTATTCTGATTGGCCCACACTTACTGAGCATATATTCTTTGCCTCCCCATCATTGCTCTGCCTCTTTTTTGAATTTTCCCTTGCTCTCTATGCTGAACTCTTTCAAAAAAGAAGTCTTATTCCCCTATGTAGGCCATTGTTGGAAGACATCCTTGTAATATTATAGCTTCATTTTGCTTAGAAACATATTGATTTACAAATTTTCATCTGTGGAGATTTTTTCTTTCAAGTGATTGTCTTGTTTAACTATGACATTGTGATGTGAATTTTCAACAGCGGCCTTGATGCATGAATTGTTCTTTATTTTGTCAACTCAACTCTACTCGAACATTCTCTTAGGATGCTATTTTTTCTACGTTATTAGTGTTTTGGAGTATTGTTATTATTTATTTTCCTTAATCATGAATTGATATCTTTCTTTGTGAACGTTGATTTCACTTGAATGTGCACCTTGCCTTTTTCTCTTTTTTTCCAGGTAACTTTCTTACACTTATTCAGCTAGGTGGGGCATTGTTTACAAAGCCAAAATCATCGAAGGGATGAACTAACGAAGAGGAAAGAAAGGGAAGTTTTCTATCCAAATAAGAGAACAACAAAACCACTCAAAATTCACCTGGAAGTGATTTTTGGGCAGAATTAAGGGGTGTTTAGTTGTGTAGATAACTAGTTACTTAAGGAAAATGTATCCTCTTAACTGTTAGTGATTTGGATTGAATTCCCACCTGATAATTGTTAGGTTTCAACATTAAAAGAAGAAGAAGAAGAAGAAGAAGAGGAACAAAAATTGTTGGAGGTCTCTACCATTCATATTTTTAGTGTAAAACATGCTTTATGAGAATGTGACAGCGAGTGACAACCCACATTTTGTCTTTCTATGATCGCGCCTTCTGCAACTAAGTGACATGGCAGAATTGGAGGGGATGAAGTAAGGCCTTATTTTTTTTTTGTTAATTGCCTTAATTGCATAATTCTCTGTTAATCCTAGGTGGGTTTTGTGTTTTGAGAGAGATAATGACTTTGCACCACACTATGATATTGTATAAAGGGCAAATAGTAATCAAAGCAATTCTTTTCGGCAAAGTCAAATTAAATTCAGGTACATCATTATATGTTCTTTTCCTTTCATATTAAGTAGGCTTGTACCAGTTTTGATAGTTTTAGTTTGTGTTGTCAGCAGAAATCCATATTCTTTTCATACGTTTGTGAGGTACTGAGATGATGTTATGATGAAGTTGTAGTGTACTTCTGTCTCTCATCAATTGAATTCTATCCATATGACCACACCATGCTTTTGTTTTGTTGATTCATACATGTATATATATATATCACTCACCATCTTTTTGGTTCTTTGTGAGGTACTGAGATAGCGTTATGATGAATTTTCTCTCAACTTGAATATATACCTGTTGCTTTCATTTCTTTCTTGTTTGGATCATGAATTTGGGAAGAATAGAAAAGTGAAAGGGAATAGGATTACTAATACATACTCTTTTTTTATAGGTAACTGAAAAAAAGAAGATTTTGACAATTATATATTCTTTTTTTTATTTTACTAAATCAGACACACACACACACACACACACACAAAATGAAAAGAAAAAAAAAAGACTTTTATTTCTTTCTTTCTTTTTTATATCTTTTTCCTTGCCTGTTTTTTACCCTACAAATTTAAGATTACAAGGCGACCTGTCGACTTTGCCATACAACTTTTGGTTTGGAATTTCATATGAAAAAAGATAATCCCACATCAACGATTTGCCGGTACAGCTTTTGGTACGGAATTGCATGGTGAAAAAAGATTTAGGGGAAATTATCAGTGATAGGTTGGAAAAAAAACTTGCAAAATGTCTAAAGTGTTTTTTGGCAAGAATTTTGCCTTTTTTTATTTTTATTTTTTTGGACATAAAGAACTACACTTCCATATTTTTAGTCAAAATAGAGTGATAGTTTCTACAAAGATTTGTACTCGCTCCCCCATTGAGTACATTATTGTGTACAAGGACAAGTTCCATTAGAAGTCAACTATTAATTTTGACATTTCTGGGCAAGGTCATGTGGTAATCCCAACTTGTTATTGATTGAAACATGAAGCCTTGGTACTTTTATGTTGAGTTTTGAGAGACAAGAAGACAAATAACAGAGTATGCGGAGTATATTCAAATCTACCAAATAATTTCCTTATAGGGGAGTTACAATTTTTCTTTCTTTTTTTCTTTTCTTGTAGTGATGAATAAGTTACACTAATTATTAAGTTTAAAAAAAAAAATTAAATAAAAAAAATTGAGAAAAAAAACTTGGTATGTTTACATGAAAATTTTACTATACACATTTAAAAAAGTGGATGTATCATATAGATTACACCTACATCCTTTAAAATTTTACTATATATATATATATATATATATTAAAAACTTGGTATGTTTGTATTTTTATTTTTAGTAATTGGATCTAACAAAAGTAGAGTAAATTACAGCTATATCATTTAAAATTTACTTTAATATAGATTCTCTCCTCAGATTCTAAAAATTACATTTTCCCTCATGTAGTTTATAGTATTACAATTTGCCCATGACATTAATTAGTTATTAGGTAAACTAATGGTTTGTGGTTGTTTTACTCTTTTGTTGCATAGTCCTGCCTTTCTTCTCTCTCTCAAAATCAAACCCAAATCAACATCGAATCGAACCCCTAATTGCTACTAGGGGTGAGCAGCGGATATACCGATCCGCCAAAACCGACCGAACCAAACCGATCCGCCGCATTTTGGACGGATGCGTGATGACGAGCGGACGGTTGCGGATTGATTTTGCATCCACGATCATGATTTGCCTTTGCTTATGTGGCAAATTTGGCACACCATTGGAGCGACTTTTTTTTATGAAAGTTCAACTAAAAATGACTTTAGCTCAATGATTTAGTATATTATTAGAGTTGTTCTAAGGAAACAAGTATCACTTCAACAATTACTCTTCTTACACTTTAAACTAAAAAATTAAAAGAATAAATAACATAACAATTTGAAAAAATTACTAATTAAACATTACTCTTTTTCTTTTCTTTGTTTTGTTTTTTTGTTTGTACCTTTTTTTTTTTTTTGAGCCCTCCATTCGATAGAGGCCTTTTAAGAATATTTCAATTTTGGATTTAATAAAATGGTTGAAATTATTTGGGACCCCAATTTTACATAATTTTTGGGATTCAAAACAATTGCTTTTTTTTTTTTTTTTTTAGCAAAATAAATTTTATTATGCTCTAGGTCAGTCATGACATCTATAAACTACAATCATTCTATGTGCGACCTAAGCCCCACCAACATTAAATCTATACGATGATCCTCACTTTTGGAACAAAAATCCATAGTAAATAGCATGTTGGTTTGTGAATCTGAACAAAACACAACAAGAGTTTCTATATTCTCTCTGAAAGTAACTTTAAGGCGTAAACATTTTAAAAGGGTGTTGAAACTTAAACATCATCATCTGCTACTGCTAGCCCTAGATCTCACCTTGTTTTGGCAAAAAGTAAGCACAGTGGAAGCCCAAGCTTTCACATTACATTGGCTACGTAATCTCCATTTATAGTATCAGACTGTTTCAGGTGAATTTGTACAACCATTACCATTACCATTACAACAACTTCACTATAAAATAAGGTAACCCTTAATCCCTTTCACTACACTTAACCTCAGTTAAACTCTGAACCCAACCCACCCAACTCAAATTGGCATCTCTCTCTCTCTCTCTCTCTCTCTCTCTCTCTCTTGTTCTTGTTGGTTTGATCTGTGAAAAAGCAGTTTCTATTTCTATGGAGAAAATGAATAATTTGAGAAGTGACAAGCTCAAAGAAAGATGTGAAAGCAACAACTTGAGCTTTGAAAGAGATAGCACATGTGGGTTTTCATGGCCTCACAGAAACTATACATGTAGCTTTTGCAAGAAACAGTTCAAGTCTGCACAAGCTCTTGGGGGTCACATGAACATTCATAGGAGAGAGAGGGCCAAGTTGAACTTGCCTCAGTCACCTTCTTGGGATTGCCCTAAATTAAGCTTCAACCCTAACCCTAACCCTAATTTCTCATCTTCATCTTCTGCAGCTAGGTTCTTACCATATGTTTCTTACCACTCCTCTCTCACTTCTTTCTCTTCACAATCCTCAGCTTCCACAGATGAAGAAAATAGGGTGCTTAGCAGTGGAGCTTTTTTTGGGGTTGGGCAGTTGAAGAGCTTTGCACCACAGGAAGACGAATCTAGGGTTTTGAAGAAGGAGAATATTGTGAGGTTGGACTTGGAAATGGGAGATCCAAAGGAGGATTTGGATTTGGAACTCAGACTTGGGTACTCTTAGATGCAATTTTTAGTACTTTTTGGATTTGGGGCTTGAACTTCTCAATTTTTTTAGCTGTGCTTTTAGCTTCTTGCCTTCGTTAACTGATTGTGATTCACAAATTCTATTTTAGTTTCTTCTTTTCATTTGGTATCATGATGCATTTGTTTCTAGAGAAAGTGGAGGAAAGGAAAAGAAAGTTAAACACTCTCAAACCCTTTTTCTAATGCTTCTTGACAACCATGGTGAGGAGATAGATGCCTTGAGAATGTTGAATCTGGAAAATGGATCTCTGAGATTGTCTAAAATTAATCTGAGTACACTCCATGAACTTCTAAATAATGTTGTAATATTCAGTTTAATCATGAATTATCTTTTGCTTAAATTGCATGTTGTAATTATTATTTCTGGATTGGTCCTAATTGTTAGGTTAAATGCAACACAGCTACAAAGATGAGCACTAATTAAGTCTTCTCTCATGTGATTGTTCTTGAGGAAATACTATAAAAAAATTTAAGGAAAAAAAAAAAGAAAAGGAGTTCGCAAGAAAATAGCAAATTTATTTTGAAGTATGGTTCCATGTAACTAAATTTCTGGAAAGTTGAACTCGATTATATGTTTTTTATATGTTCAGATGGTTATATTGTCTTCTAAACACTGACATTTATATGATGAATCTCACTGTTTAAATCAATTAAAAAAAAAATGTGTTAAGGTGACAGTACCTATTGGTATGAAAAAATTGCTCCTAAGTGAGGACCTATTTTGCTGATAAAAAAAAAAAATAGAAAAGAAAAAGTGAGGACCTATTTTGAAAGGGGTAGTGATTGTGGTGCATGCATATATACTTGTGTATGCAAGAATGTATAATTATATATTTAGTGCAAGCAAAGTAGACTTAGCTTTCTTAATACATTTTTTGAAATTATATTTATTTATTAATATCTTGATACATGGCACTTTTTCAAATATTTTAAAATATGTTGTTGGGTGAGAATATACAATTTTTAATATTTAATTTTTTAATATATGCCTTAAGAGCGTATATTAACAATATATATATATATATATATATATATATAATGAGCTGCATCCCGTTAGATCCCTCACCAACATGTTGAAGATAAATTGAAAGAGAAAATGTTAAAGGTAGTTTGGTTATGGACATTGAAAGCCTTAAATACAAAGGAAGAGTGATGTAGTGGTGACTGGAAATAAGTTTATGGAGCAATTTGATCATTTTATGGGAAAATAATAATTTCATTGACTTTTCAAAGTCGTCAAATCAATCTCAAAACACCTATATTCGATATGAAACAACCTAGCAAGTTCAACTCACCGCTTTGCAGTGACGCGCACTAAATTTAAGCAACTTTCATCTAGGCCTCCGAATTAGAGATTTTTTAACATTTGGAAAGATTTTGAATACTTAATTTTGAGGCTCAAAAAAATTCATTTTATTTACATTTTTTTCTAAGAAACTTCTTTTGCAACTCAAAGTTATTATTTTTGGCAGTTCTATGATTTTATGTAATGTTGGGGCATGGGTTGTGGCTTGGCCACCAAAGCAATCTTCCCTATAAATTGAGATGTAGGCATTTGAGGCTAATCAGTTAATTTTGAGTAATAAAATTTTATAGAATTCATGTTTTCCTTGTGTTTTTTTTCATTTACTTCGTACGCTTTCCTACATCAAAAAGTGATATGATCACCATAAATAGAAATGCTAAAGCCTTTACTGCTGGGTTGTTTGGTGCTGGGTTGTTTGGGTGCTTGAATTAGCTTCTGGATTTCACTAAAGCTTTTACTGCTGGTCTGCTGGTGCTAGCGTTAGCTTGAGTTGTTTGCTGGTGTGCTGAGTGGTGTGGGTTTCCAGTCATGGTCTGAATTTTGTGGCTGCCTATTCCTTCATTTCTTGGTTGCTGATCTGTTATGCTTTTCTTCTTGTTTTCTTTGTTGGTTTCTCACCAACTGGAGCTTGGAACTTCATTTAGTTCCAAGCTCCTCTTTATTGATATTCTATATTTGTTTTGCATGCTTTCATCAATAAAGATCTTCTTTGCCGATGAAAAATAAATAAATAAAAAAAATAAAATAAAATAAATAGAAATGCCAAGCCATGTTGTTTCTTTTTTTTCTTTTGTTTTTTCCTGGTTTTGCTTGGTTGGTTACTTATCAATTCGTTGTCATGCTAGCAGATGATTGAGCGTACTCAATGGTGCCAATCTAGTTAAGATCATTTTACTGTGCTATGATGCTCTATGCATACAACATTTTTATTGATGTAACTTCTTATTATTAATAAAGGTTTCTTTTGCTGATCAAAAAAATAAATAAATAGAAGTGTTGGGGGGAAGGAAAAACCTAAATTGACATGAGATGTAATAGTGAAAAAATATATAAATTTATTTAATTTAACTGAACATATATAGTTCTTTATAGAGTTGAATGGTAAAAAAAAAATTCATGTAATTGCTGATTATCATCAATAAAGTTTTTTTTTTTTGCTGATTTGCTGAAAAAAAAAAAAAAAAAAAAACTTACGGGTTGTTTGAGAACTTGTCATAAAAGGCTACTTTTGGCTAAAAAAATTAAATAGTCAAAAAGCCACTAAGTTGTTTGTCATTAGCTAAAAATATTAAATGTCATATTAATTTTTTTACTAAGAATAATAATTTTTTAGCAATTTCCCAACCACATTAAAATTTTTGACTCCTACAAAATTCAAAAAGAGAAAAAATATATATATATATAATCCCAAATATTATTTGAAACAAAATTTTTAATTTGGTTTGATTGGGTTAATTGTAACCAAATGTAGAGTGAGCTTTCGCGCCCTTTATCTTATATGTTCCGAAGTGAGTGCACAATTCATAAATGAAAACAATTATGTATAAAATATAGGGGAAAATACAACACAGTGCACTGTAAGAAATTTTTTTTGTAAAATCATTGAAAAATTTATGATTTTTATTATTAGAATTGATAATTTTTTTAACAAATCTATAATTATTTTTGTAAAAATAACCTGATATGTAATTTCTCCTAAAATATACTACCATATTTATCCAATACACGGCATAAATTTAATGCATAAAAATTTTGTTCATGATTTTTTTTTTTCATTTGAAAATGAAATTATACAATAGTATATTCTTGTAATTCTAAACCAAAATAATGGGAATTTTAATTTGAAATAAATAAGGACTACATCATCATTATGTATATAAATTTTGTATAAATTATTTTTGTGTCACATTATTCTTTCAAAATGTAGTAAAGGGCCATGAAATGCACAACCTTTGGTTCTGATATCATGTTAGACTCATGCACTTTCTATCCTCTAACTGAATCTGCTTGAACATAGCTTGATTACTAAACACGCTTAAAAAATGGGCTTGAGAACATTTATTTAGCGAATGAATCAAATTCAAATGATTTTTAAAAGAGTAATGCTTGAGTTGATCATGAATAGTGTGATTCATTTGTAGGTTTACTTGAAGGTATTGTTTGTTATAGTTCAACCCAATAATTAGCCTTATGAGTTTGTCACTTTTTGACTTCTAACTCAAAAGGCACCTCCAAAATAAAAATGTCTTGCTCTATTTTATTAAAATTTATCCTAAATATCGTCTTCAACTGATGTGGAATGCTAAAACACTCTCATTTTAAGTTATAGTTTTTTTTTTTTTGGTCATTTAAAAACAGTTTTTTTTTTTTGAACGGCAAAAGAGATCTCTATTGATAAGAACATACAAAGTATGAGAAATATATCAACAAAGAAGAGTTTGGAGCTAGCACAAGTTCCAATTGGTGAGAAACCAACAAACAAAGCTAAAGCAACAAAAACAACAAATGCAACAGAACTAACACCATTAATATCAGAAATTCACCAAGATCATCTCATGAAGCTTAAAACTTGTTGTGCAGTGGAAGTTGCTGATGTGAAGGGAAGACAAAAATAGAACTTCACCAGGACAGGCACCAGAACTTCACCAGGACTTCACCTAAATCATCTTATGATGCTTATAACCTGTTGTGCTGCTTAAAACCACCAAGGAAAGCTGTGTTGCCTTCAAATCAAGACAAAGCTGAGATCCAGAGAAATAACAACTGTTGATATACCAGTGGTGATCCAGAGAAATAACTGCTGTTGAACCCAACCCAGCATTGACAGCAACTGAACTTTCTTAATACATAACGTACCCCCTAGGCCCTTCCACCTAAGCAATACCTGATTATTGGAATGTTGAAGAGGAAGTCATTAATAGAGAATTGAGATCCCTTGGATAAAGCTTTATACCAAAAAGCTAACCTGGTGATAAAGAGCTCTTGAAGCTCCTGGAATTGGGGTTGTGAGCCTTGGAATAAACACTCATTTCTGTGTTTCCATAAGGACCAAAGAGCTACTAGAGAAATTGCACTCCAAATTCCTTTCTTCTTTTCTACAGCAGTGCCCTACCTACCACTGAATCAGTCCTTGTACAGACCCAGGAACCACCCAAACTAATCCCCACCACTGCAACAGCCCAGACCAAACTCTCCACACCACGGGGCAGAAAATTAGAAAATTAACACATGTTCAATTGATTCTTGCTGAGCCTTGTAGAAAGTACACAGGGTAAATGAGTCCCTACCAAAAATTCCAAGCAATTGCAAAAATACTAATGTTTTAACCTTGTTTTTCCATGCAAGCCAACCAAAGAATTGCACTTTGAGAGGGAGATAATTGATCCACACCCTTCTACTGAAGCTGGCATTGCCCCCAAAAGCAAGATTGGTATGATTATAGAAAAGAGATACAAGTGACTGACCTGGTTTAGTAGCAGACCATATTGTTATATCATTGACCTGCAGATTAAATGCAGGTGCTTCTCGTAACATTCCATTGAGTCTGAGTAACTCCTTTTTATCCCATTCAAATAGGGGTCTCCTAAAAGTAAATGGCCAATTGTAAAAGTTGCCTATGATCTCCACTAGGTCCTTAATTGATCCCTCCTTATTAGTAGATAGCCGAAATAGCCTTGGGAACTCATCTTTAAGAAAGATATCTCGACACCATTTGTCATGCCAGAACCTTATTCTACAACCATTACTC